ACTTTTGCACTCAGCCCCATTACAAGCCTTGAAAGACCTTGTTATCTTGAGTGAGCTCAAAATATTAGTATAGTCATGCATATATTCATCTTTGTGAATGTGAAAGTTGTATTGGATTCCGAGATTATAAATGGTTGATGAATTTTGTGTGAGCATCGAATAATTCTTGATGTGAGACTATTTGAATGCTTTTGTTGAGCTTGAACTAGCATCTAAAGCAAACATTGTAATCTTGAGTCTATTTTATGATGGTTAGTCACAATTTGAAACTTAGAGTGCACAATTGAGCATTCCATCTGAAATTTGAACCATTTGTGCGCATTTGTGTTGAGTCTTGAGTAGCAGTGTTTGTAGACATCCTTATTGAACTAATTGATCTTGAGTTTTACTTGAGGACAAGCAAAAGTTTATGTTGGGGGTGTTGAGGATTCTGCAAATTCCACTCATTTAGGGCTTTTTTCCCCATAGTTTTATTGTTCTCAATGCCTAATTTATACTTTAAACTAATGTTAAAGTGTTTATTTGCACCAATGAAGGTTAAGGAGAAAGGCAAGGACATTACCGGGCAATAAGAAGCGAAAAAGTTGAAAGAGTTGAAAAAAGGCAATCATGGTGATCGCCAAGACTATTCGGTAAGCCGCTCATTTTCTCTTTAGCTTACCAAAAGTTCTTGCATGCCAGCCTTGGGAAAGAACATACTTTGCGATGTAAATGGATAGTTGGCGCACCGCTTACTGGATCGGAGTCCTCGATCAATATCTTCCAATATTACAACATTAAAAATGTAATAATATAGGACCAAAAGGCTATAGTAAGAAGCGTGTGGTGTGTCACCGTATTGTACGACGACATCCGACTTATATCGCTAAACAACCCTGTAGGGCAAATTTTGAGAAAGTATAAATTAGTTTTTAAGAAAAGATCAGGGTATCCTATTATTGTGAGACTCTGTGTTTTAACCAGAACTACTGGTTTTTGCTTAGTTTGAAAGAATTTTCTAGTAGATGTCGAATTGGGTTTTGGCATTCAACCTGAATCGGAGCATTGTAAGAACTCAGATATGAATACCCAGCTTTGAAAAATGTAATTGAGATTGACTTCTTACTTTTTATGATGTGTGGGTAAAACCCCCATTCTTGGGGGTCTGATCATGTGATTATTTGTTCTAATAGGCTTATGGGTATTGTTGTTTACTATCTAAATTGCTATTTTGAAGTGGGTTTGATTGGTAATTGAGGTATATTTATGCATTGTAATTGAGAAATGCAATTCGAGGTTAGTCTTTTATGCTTTCTTAAGAGAAAGGATTTAGAACTAGGATTACCGATTGAGGATTGCAGTGATTGTGTTGTTGTGGGTTCAGCTCGAGAGAGTGAATCTTAACTCGATCCTACATATCTAGCTTGAGCGAGTGGATATATTGAGGTATTAGGTTGCTTATAGTGTTATTCTTATCGAGGTTCGAGAGAACTCACCTGATTCGTAATAGTTGTTCAAGAGAAAGCTATTGCATCAATAGTCTTGCCTAACCATTAAGATTCAAAAATTCTTAATAAACCCCAATTACCAATATAGTGTAATTAATCTATAATCGATCATGAAAAATTAATAGCATTGATGATGATAATGTGATAAAAAGGGCGCATGTTTAGTTTTCGCTCGGCGCACAATATCAAGGAAGCAATTGTGACCGGACTCACCTATGGCGCGACATCGAGCAATAACATTGGTGAAACAATACGTTACTATGGTGACTGGAATACCTAGAAACCTTCAATCTATCACGTTTGGAAGTTACCTACCACCGGGTTTTAAGACTATATCTGAGGAAATTGATACGAGCAGTTTGGAGGATGAAGTGCAGCTTAAAGCAGTAAGACATGACTGTAAAGAACCAGTGATTTGACGACTGCTATATACAAATGGAAAACCTTCCATTCCAACTGAAAATACAAGAGAAGAGTGGGGGAATCGACGAGAGGGTAAGTCTCTAAACTATATTCCTCCAATAGTCAAGAATGGATTTTTAACGGAACAAATTGAGGAGGTAGATATAAAGGAGAAGGTTAAAATTTGGCAATCGTCACTAATTGGCTATGTACTGGGAGATAATCCATCTATAAATTAATTAGAGATTTATGCAGTGAATGTGTGGAAGGCTAAACCTAAGATTTTTTTTCATGAGGATGGATATTACATGTTTAAATTTCAAACGCAGTGTGAAAAGAAGAGAGTTCCCATGCAAGGTCCACAGTATGTAAAAAATCGACCTTTAATCCTTAAGCAATGAAAATTGGATTTTGAGCTACATAAGGAGACACTTACTCTAGTTCCTCTATGGGTAAAATTTCCTGGTCTACCTGTGGGTTACTGGTCGGTTGAAGCATTAATTAAGGTGGTGAGTGCAGTAGGGTGACCTTTACATAAAGATAGGTTCACAGAAGATGCGGAGAGGATTTCCTATACTAGGATTCTGATTGAAGTAGATGTATTACAACCCTTGATTGAGCTAATAGTGATTGAAACACCTTCTGGCCCATGGGACCAACTAGTCGAATATGAATAGAGGCCAAAGTATTGCAATGAGTGTCTGAAATTTGGGCACAATGATATGGACTGCTGGTATAAGGAGAAGGGAATTACTTGGGAGAATAGTCAAGGGCTGGAGGAGATAAGGGATGATCCTACAAGAATGGAGAGATACAAAGGGAAACAACAGGTCTGACAACTTAAAACAAAGCCGGATAGGGTAACTGGGGTTGGCAATGCAGTTGAAATTCAACACCCGTATAAGGTGTTGGAACAGCCAGAAAAGGGAATTGAGATGACTAAAGTAATAGTACAAAGGAGTGGGAAGCAAATCATTGATGATCAAGGTGTAAGGGTGGATGAAAATAAAGATATACAACAAGAGGAAATGATGGAGGCAAGCACTAGAGATAGGAATGCTATGATTTATGCAGGGGAATATGGTGCTGGCAACCTCATGCCATATGTTCCACCATGATCCTATCTACATGGAATATTAGGGGCTTGAATCAGGCTGATAAATAGAAGGAGGTGAGGCTCTTTCTAGCAAAAAATAAAATAGAAGTGTTTGGTTGTGTTGACACAAAGGTGAAGGAATCAAAAGCTAGAAGTATATTGAAGAAGATTGCGAAAGTTTAGGAAGCTTGCTATAATTATATTTATATGCCTAATGGAAGAATTTGGTTCATATGGAAGAATTTTCTTAATGTTAATATTATGGAGTTTAAGGATCAATATATACATTGTACTATTGAGGATACTAGAATACAATGTCAACTATACTTCATTGTAGTTTTTGCTATGAATGAATTAACACAAACGGAGAGACTATGGGCTAATCTGAATCAAGTTGATGTGAGAAACAATTGTTCTTGGAACTTATGTGGTGATTTCAATAATGTGTTGAGCTCAGAAGATAGAATGGGATCACCTGTGAGTTCCAGTGAAGTTGAGGGGCTCCAAGGTATGCTGGATTCATTGCAACTGACACCATTATGAAGTACATGGTGGAATTTTACTTGGTGTAACAAACAAGAGGCAGGGAGGAAAGTGTATAGTAAAATAGATTAAAGCATTAGGGGATTTAAAGTGGTTACAACAGTATGGGCAGGTGGAAGCTGATTATCTTAATCCCTCAGTATCTGACCATTACCTTATTTTGATTAAATGTTGTTCTTATACTACTTTACTTCCTAGACCTTTCAAATTTATCCTAACATAATGGAGCTACGAGAATTTAGAAGCACTATGAATCAAGTATGGGAGATGAAGATCACTGGACAACGTATGGTTCAGGTCTGGGAAAAATTGATGCAATTAAAGGTGAAACTGAAGTATATAAACAAATTTATGGCTGGACTTTCACAGAAATTACATGTAGCAAGAGAGAAACTTGACAGCCATTACTTTAATTCCTAAAGTTCCATACCCTACAAAAGTTAAGGACTATAGGCCTATTGCATGTTGCACATCTGTGTACAAAATCATTTCAAAAGTCCTTACAGGGATATTAAAGATTGCATTAGCAGTGCTGGTTGGAAGGGCTCAATCTGCATTTATTGAAGGTAGAACTATTTTGGATAATGCGTTATTTAGACAGATTCAAGATGACCTGATGAATCAAATGTTATTTGTTCAGGAGAAATGCTTTTAGTAGAAATTGAGAAGTGGAGCAAAGTGGAGGAACAAGTGCTAACGCAGAAGTCTAGAGCAACTTGGGTTGAGTGTGGAGATGCTAACTATAAGTATTTCCATGCTCAATGGAAGATTAGATGTAGTCATAATGCTATTAGTTCCATCTACACTATGAATAAGATCAAGCTTACTGACCAGAGGGCAATTGAGGTTGAATTTATTGGGGTGTTTACTGGACTAATGGGTGCTAGTGCTAGTAATTTGCCTTGTTTAAATGCTGAGGGGGTGAAGACAATTGTGTGCTAGATTCTACAACAACAGAAGGAAATGATAAAAGAGGTAACACAGAAGGAGATTATTGAAGCTATCAAAAGTATGCCTAAAGAAAAAGCTCGTAGGGTGGATGGTTTTCCTATAGATTTCTTCATAGGGAACTGAGATATTGTCAAAGGAGAGGTTCTGTAAGTAGTTCAACAATTCTTTATCACTGGTAATCGTTTACATACTATAAATACAATAGCCATTACTTTAATTCCTAAAGTTCCATACCCTACAAAAGTTAAGGACTATAGGCCTATTGCATGTTGCACATCTGTGTACAAAATCATTTCAAAAGTCCTTACAGGGATATTAAAGATTATATTAGCAGTGCTGGTTGGAAGGGCTCAATCTGCATTTATTGAAGGTAGAACTATTTTGGATAATGCGTTATTTAGCCATGAAATATTCAAAAGTTATGGAAGAAAAAGGATATCCCTAGATGTGTACTTAAAGTTGATATAAGGAAAGCGTATGACTCACTAGAGTGGAGTTTTTTGAAGCAATTAATGATTGAGATGGTATTTTCTGCTAAGTTCATTTCATGGATTATGACTTGTGTGACCACTGTATCCTATTCATTGTTATTGAATGGAAGGTTAACAAAAACTTTGCATGCTAATACAGGATTAAGACAAGGATATCTGATGTTACCCTATCTATTTGTACTGGCTATAGAGTATCTGGATAGGGAACTACAACAGCTCACAAAGAATGGGAACTTTAATTTCCATCCAAGGTGCAGGAAACTAGAGACTATACATGTTTGTTTTGATGATGATCTATTAATTTACTATTGGGCTGATCTAATTTCTATTACGCTTTTGAATGAAGATTTCATGAAATTTGCTAGAGCTTCAAGATTACATGCAAATGCAGATAAGAGCTCTTTTTATTTAGCTGGAGTGGATGCTCATACTAAGCATAAATTGCTGGAAGAACTTGGATACACTGAGGGCACTATGGTTTTTAGATACTTAGGGGTTCTATTGACATCAAAAAATCTTATTGTCAATTAGTTTATGCCTTTAATTGAGAGAATCACTACCAAAGTGATATGTTCGTCAGCAAAAGTATTATCATACTCTGGGAGAGTCCAATTGATAAAATCTGTCATTTTTTGGGTCCAAGCTGATTAGGCACAAGTTTTTGTATTGCCTAAGAAGGTTATTAAGAATATAGAACAAATTTGTAGGACCTGCTTGTGGACAGGGGCAATAACTAATTTTACGAAAGCTTTAGTGGCTTGGGAAACAGTATGCCAACCGCAACCTGCATGTGGACTAAATATTATTGATCTTAAATTGTGGAATAAGGTTGCAGTACTCAAACAACTATAAAATATAGCTAGGAAAAAAGACTGCCTATGTATCCAATGGGTGCATAGTTATTTCATAAAGAACTAGGGGATAGAAACTGTCACTCTACCTACTGCTGTTTCATGGGTAGTGCGAAAGATATTGAGTACAAGAGATTTGATAATCCAAACGCAAGCTAGACAAGGTGAGTTGATGATGTAGTTTGCAAAGTTCCATAAAGAAGATGTATAACTCTATCACGCCTATTTTCCCAAGAATATAACGGAAGAGCATTACTTTTCAACAAGGAGTACATCCAAGATTCAAATTCATATTGTGGCTGGTTGTGCAGAAAAGATTAGGTACTATTGACAGACTTGAAAATTTTGGGATTCAAGTGCCATCTTAATATGTGTTCTGTATTAGAACTAAGAAACCTTTGGACATCTCTATTTTAAATGCCAAGTGACAAAGACATTATGGGGGAGAATGTGAAACTGCATGGGAATTTAAAGAAGTATTCACGACTGGAGAACGGAGATAGCTTGGATAAGTGAAATTGCGAAAAAGAAGGCAGGAGGTGCTGAGATCAAGACTAGTGTTTTTGTGATGATGGTATATATCCTTTGGAGAGAAAGGAACAAGATCAGGTTCCAACGAGGACGAGTCTGTGCTAAGAATGTCTTTAGAGAGATTGCTATGCATATTCATCTAAGAGGACAACACAAGGCTAGATGGACACTTATTCTACAAACTGTAAATCAATATCCTTAGAATAGTAGTTCCTTGTATGAGTTTATATTATTGTTTTGCTCTCTATATGATTAGGAAGTATAAAGGTAGAATGAGAAGAAGTTAGTCACTTAGCGGTTTTTCTTTGTATTGATCAAATTTTGGTTATAAATGAAATTCCTTGGTACCAAAAGAAAAAAAAATCTATAATCGATCACATCCCCGAGAATTACTCTTTAGTTTTTTATTACCCTATTTTTGTGATTGTTGTAGTTGCTAATTAACAAACTAGTCACCCCATCTAACATAATTGTCAATCCCTTTGATTTATCTAAATTAATTCGATAATTTTTATTCCTACAACCGATTAGACCACATTTATAACTTCGTAAGTGAATTCGAACTTGTACCGCTCCTTGTGGGTTTGACCCCAACTCTTCTATGGGTTTTAAACTAGATTTTGATCGCCTACACCTATAATTGGATGAGGTGTAGTTGAGTGTTTATCAGATGCTCTGCTTTCCCATTAGTTTGCGGATAAAAGGTCGTACTAAGCTTAACACAAGTATCAAGACCCATTTGGAAATATTTCTAGAACTGAGAAGTGAATAGGGTACAACAATGGGACATAATGGATAACAACACTACATGCAACCTTGCCATTTCTATAAGCTACAACTTAACATAGACCTGCACCGAATAAAAAACATTAACGGGAATGAAATGATCGGATATCGTCACACGATCTGCTATAACGGAAATTGAATCATGTTGTCGCCGCTTGCATGGAAACCCAACAATGAAGTCCATATTAAAATCTTCCCACTTCCAAGTAGAAATACTAACGTCTTGGGACAAACATCCGGACTTTTGATGCTCAACTTTCACTTGTTGACAATTTGTAACACCCCAGAAAAATGGTAGGTCAACCTTGAGCTAAACATGAGGATTAATGTATCTTTCCGAAGATGATTAGAAAAAACTAGAGCCAAAATGAAGGAGGTAAACATCTAGGAAGAAGGTAAGGACCTAAGCTACCAAGAGCGATTGAAGGAAAAACAATATTTCCCTAGGACCATTTGGTGATGGGCAGTAGCAGTGCCCAAAGGCCATTGGCGATTAGCCAAATGGACCTTACTCGCCTAGTGATTAGCCTCCCCTAGACCTAGCTACTGGAATATTGGGCGAGTTAGGTCGGGGTTTGCTAACCCACTTGGCGAATCACCCAAGTGAATGTCTCCTTTAAGGAGCATTCTGTAACTTTAGGTGTGTCAAAGGTCCATTAGGTGTGTCGCCTACTGCCCTTGGCGAGCCAAAGGGTCCATTGGGAGAGCAAAGTTGTGAAGGAGAGAACACAATTAAGTTGTAACTTAAAGGGTCCCTACTTTTATTCCAAAATTAAAACCACTTTATTCTACTCCTTTCCCAATAAGTATATAACCTTCTTAGACTTGAAATTCTTTGAATTAAGTCACTTTTTAAAGAATTAAAAGAAGACCCATCTCCTCTCCACTGTTTCTCTCACTAGAATCCTCCATTGAAGAAGATCAAGAACTTGAAGACTAGGGCTCAAAAATCCATCTTCCCAACTCCAATTCGTAGGGAAAGCTTCAATCAAGGTATGGAAGTCTTGATTCATGGAAAGCTCTATTCCATGAAGCCCTTCAACTCTTAATTTCAAATTGGTAGATTCTTCATAAAACCCTAAGGTTTTAAATATAGTCATGAGTCTCCTTCCAAAACGATTTCAATTGTTTAATTATGGTTGGTTATGGTTGATTATGATGATTTATGATTGGAATAATGGATTATTGTTGGATTTTGATGAAAATATCCCTTGGACCCATGATTCCCCTTTCTTCCTAAATTGTGAACTATGGTATGGCCTGATTGATGATGGGAGCTTCACAATTGATTATTTTTACATTGATTAAGTTGTTGAATCATGATATCCCTCTATATAATGTAGTAATTCTATTAGTTAGGGTTGATCTTGATTCATAGCCTTGAAGGGAAACTTGTTAGGGGTTATACATGTTTATGAGGATTGTATATGAACTTGTGATTCACTTAGATGGTGTTCATCCTATGACTATTGTGTAATGTTGGTATTGATGAAAGATCCTTCTTCCATATACCCTTACACTTGATTATGCATGAAGTATGTATGCATGGTTATGGTAAGCTTGTTGTGTTGATTGAAAGGCCATTCTTATGAACACACTATGAATATGATGTGAAAGGTTTACTCACATGTTGATGATTCTAAGGTTGGAAGGACATCCCCACCTATAGAATCTATGAGCTATTATGATGTATGCTGGTTTGAGTGCCTAGTGCATTCTTTCATGAACATGAACTTAACTAAAGACTTAATATGAATTCTAAAGGGAATTATGCTCAGCACCGAGTGGATATGACAATGAGATAGGTTAATTCACGCTAGTAGTTGGGTTACCAATATGGTTATCTCATGAGATGGAAACCTCCACGTTAGTAGTTAGGGTTTTGTAGTAGCAATCTCCTTATCCCATAACTATGTACCCACATAGGTCTTTAGCTAGTGGATCCACCTAAAAGCTAAAATGTACGTTCTACCTTAGGCAAGTAGGACACCACTTTTCGGTGTGGGGGTAGAACACCGGATTCCATGTAGCTCACATGGTCTATGTCGGTTAAGGCTATTATCTCTATATCATATGAATTTGAACTATGATAAGAACATGAACTTTAATTATTACTTATTAAGAGGTACTACTTAGTATGAGTGGGGGTATGTGACTTCACTTATGCGTTGCACAAGTACACTTTAAGAGTGGTTATGGTGAGGTTCTCTTATGTTATGAAGACTTATGGATTACGTATGTAAGATATGTATAAATGTTAAGGTTGAGTTTACTTATTACAAGTTATGAATATTAATAACTCCTTACTTACATATATTGATTATTGATGAGGCAAAAGTAAGATATGTATTTTGTTGGTGACCTAAATGTGATACCTAGCATGTGGTAGGGTTATGGGACCTTACCTTTGCATTGCACTAGTATGGATTTGGGTTGCTTATATGTTGGTTTGACTTATGTTTGTTCATAAATGTGTATAATGTCTTTTAAACTTGATAAAGGCGTGATTTCCACTAAATGTCCTTTTTAAGCATTTTTAAGGAGTTTTGTGCATGGATTCCATACTTAGTATATTATTTGTGATAACCCATATTTTCTACATTTACTATGAGTGTAGGTTCCGGTTGTTGAGACGTACTTCTTCTATCAAGTGAAGCTTGGGTTTACTATTCACTAACCTTGGTGAGTCCTCATTGTTCAAGGACAAGACATTACTCATTTCTAGCTTCTATTGTACTTTCTATCTTTGATACTTTATTGATGTAAAAGGTTTTGACCCTAATTGTATTCTCCATTGTACTAGATGGTGATTGAGACAAAGTCTAGATTCTTATTTTCGTTAATGAAAAAGAAGTTGACTTTGATTGTACAAGTTTTAAATTATTCTCATCATTCTATGTACTTATGTTCATGATTATGCTAAGGGCTTGTATGAGACCCCTTCGGGTTCAAGTATGATGTGTTACGTCTAGCGGGTACCCTGGGTCGTGAAAAACTTGATAATCAGAGCACAAGGTTTAGAATGATTCTAGGATGATGTCTCATGAACCACGTATAGTAGAGTCTTGTTCATGAGTCTGAAGCGTGCCACACTTATGACTGAGAGGCTATAAGATGTTTAGGAGTTTTCACTTCTTTCGTTACTCTTGAGTCGTTCCTTAGAGTTTTAACTCTATAAAGTCCTTTTCCTAACCCTTCTCATGTACATATAGGATATGACTACAAGAAGGGCGACCGCAAGAAGAATGGAAGAAGATATTATGAATGAGGGAGTTCCTCCCCAAGGTCCTCAAGCTCCTAATGATGAGGGAGCTATGCCAAATGTGGAAATAAGGACGGATCTCCAAACATTGAATCATGCTT